TTCGGATCGATGACATGCATCAACCAAGTCAGCGAGCCTGACCACCTGATCCTGTTAGTTGCCTCTTAGGACAAGCATAGTCGCCTTTTACGGCAAGTATTGGTTGCTGAAGATCTGTTCTACCCGGGTCTTCACGGGTCAATTTAACAGTGATAACACTGTTGTCACACACATTTAATAGGAGGCCTATATTACCCAGTCGTCTCAGGCAGAGGTGCTTCTCTTATGTGCTCCATAAACCTATGATCACGGGTTCAAATCCCTGCCTTGTCCTGATTATGTTCTAGGTTGGTCGGGAGCATACTCATGGGTTTCATCGAAGGGATAATGTCCGTCAGCATCGCTTCGGGAGCCAGAAGCTAGCAGCGTGTTGGGTGTTTAGTTTTTCCCGATATCCAATATTTGTTATACAAAGTCTAAAGAACGAATTGACCCCTGGTTATGTTTTAGGTATTCAATAGTACTGAATAACTAAACAGTAAAACGGGAAGATAGACTACACGTGAAAGAGTAAGAGTGACGTGAGGTGAAATGAAGTTTAGCGTCGCGTCCAAGATTAATGTACTTATATACCGACCATCGTGCGTACGTGCGTGCATGCGTGCGTGCGTGCGTAGTGAGTGAGTGCGTGTGTGTGCTTGTACTAGTCGGGACTAATGCCGATTTTATAGCGCTAACCCACTGAGTACACCATGCCGCAGTTTAACATGGATACCCCTCTCAGACACTGACTTCGAGCCGGCCAGTCCTTGTTTTAGTCCCTTAATGCCGAGCACCAGGTAGAGATGTCCTCCTTTGTTGGTTAGACTGGGTAACGAAACCGCGGCAGGTTAATGGGTAGTTATTTAAAATGAATACGTAAACAGCTCTACCGAGATATATAAATTAATTTATAGACTGACTTGATGTGTTTCTTTAATATACATGTATCTCCTTTGAATAACGAACCCGCTGAAACGTCGGGCTTCCTCCCACACCAAGCTAAACTTAGTGACGCGGTATGACTGTCACTTTGTTTAAAACGCTCACAAAGTACGTGAGTTGGTGTGAAACTCTAGTTGTTAATCCGTTCGCTCATCACGTCTAAGACCCGTGCTCGGTCCCTTACATAGATACAATTTGAAAACCAGATTCTTGTTGTCCCAACGATGGAGTGAGTGAGTAATTATTGCTTAACGCCCCTTCTGCAATTTTGCAGCTATTGGGGGCGATTCCTCGATGGAATGTTTCTACAAGAGTCCTCACGCACGCACGCACGCACGCACGCACGCACGCACGAACGCACTTACTCACGAACTCACTCACGAACTCACGAACTCACGAACTCATGAAGTAAATTTCGACAACATCATCAGAGGCTTATAATATTCTCTCGGGACATATGACAGTAATTCATCGCTATTCCTGGCATATAGCTCCTCACTTAATCTCCCACTGCTGCTGAAAACTCTGCGTGGGGTCTTACTGATTTGTAAGCCTCTCAGGATGAAGACACGTCCTGTCAGAATACACGGGATTCTTCCAGCAAGGATGTCTTTTACATGTTTTTTAGGACACTTGTTCAAAATCAGTAGAACCGTCTTGTTTCAGGTGAATATGTTGTAAAGAAGGTGAAATGCGTCAATAATCTCTTTCACACTCTCTGTCTGTCTGTCTGTCCGTCCGTCTGTCTCTCTCTCCCCATAGTACGTTCCGTTGGCACCGTAGGGTGTTTCATTGTAAACACATAAGGAGATATGCGTTTTGTTAACTTAAGTGAACCCGTAAACTTGCTAATATCACACTTTGCAAAATTTAATTTACAAATTTCCTATGAACAAGAAGCAATGAAATGTCTTCCTGCTGTGATTTGAATGACGACTAACTGCGATAAGTTGTTAACCTCAATTAGCAGTCACTTCAAGGATGTTGTTCCCTATGCTTGGATGCAGCTGCCGATTAGACGTGTGTGCACATGTATATTCATTACCGCTTAGGAAATGCTGCCTACGACAACCGTAGGGTCCTGATCACCATGCTTCTGAGAATGTTGACTAAAGGCACTCGATTTGGTGAACAGCCTTTTTTTCATTTATGAATTGACATGTCCAATAAACTGGGTTTTGTTTAAATCAAGTCTGGGTCGTTACGGAATTAACGACATGGGTGTTATCGTAATATCTGTGAAATTGGACCTTATATTTCAATTTGTGTCATACTTTCCTATTGATTGCTGGAGTACCCTCGAAATTAACTGACAAATGTTTCCGTATGCATTCGACAAGTTGGTCGGAAGAATATGAAAAAGAAATATTTCGAAACAAATCAAGACATTGAGCATTTTGCTGAAACACTGCAAAGTATAAACTTTGTAAGCCCACGGAATGTTTAATTTTTCCAGTTTAATATAGAAACTTCTGAAAGTTTAAAGAGCTATACTTTAAAGTGTTCAAAGAACTTTTATCATTATGAGTGAGCGAGTGAGTGTCATTGATTTTACGCCTTTTTGAATAGTGTTTCAGTAACATCAAGGTCTGTCAAGCATATGTTTGGACTAAACGACCAAAGGACACTTTGATAATTCACGAGTAAAGAATATTTCAAACAAATCAAGGATGACAATCGGGCCAAATTTCAGATTCGAACCCACGATAAGCGGACCACACGTTTCGCATCAAATCGTGGCCCCTTTGAAGGAAATCGTGACTATCACACGAACATGCAGTCGATACATATGTGATACACAGTTTCAGACGTTGAAGAATTGCTGGAGTTAGCTTCATGATCTCTGTTTGAAATCGAAAACAGCAATCTTTTCCATTTCTGTCAAATGTGATTGGTTGCAGCTTCAGGATGTACGAGCTCTGTGTAGCCAAGAAGAGCGATCTTCTACAAAATGTCAGATTTAGCATTTGCTAAAATCTCAGACACAAATATCCGTTATCTGAAGGTAATCATGGCCACATCTAATCACGCTCGAATCCAGGTATCCTTCTCCGATTACTTCTTTATGTCCGAAGCAATTTAAAACTGAGTTCCTAATCCCCCTTGTCTGGACGGAGTAATCAGATACACACTGTTTTGTAATGAATGATTCTTTATGGACAATTCCGCTACGGGAACGTTATTGACATAAATCTTCCATGTGATGAAATGACTTTCTCCTGGTGCGATTGCCGGCCTGGTGGAAATTCAAATTCACTGATACATATGACATGCTTTTGTTTAGTCTTATTCTGTGGCTGTTCCAGGTTACGTATGTGATGGTTTAATAACGCTGCATTGAAAGGGTATCATAATTTGATGTAAATATCTGTTTAAATAACGACTCATCTTCTCATAGTAGCAACAGGTACATTTACTGTATCTATTTGCTAACACCTGGTATCATCAATATTTCATAGTGATTCATAAACATATGCGGGGCACGGGTGGTCCAGTCGTCTGAGGCGCCGCGATTCGCTGTGCAGAGTCCCTTGAGCACGCCAGAAACCTATGATTGTGGGTTCGAATCCCGGTTAGCCCCGATTATGTTTCTAGGTTTGTCAGCACCACACCCGTGCTCGTGGGTTTCACCGAAGTGGTAAGCATCTGAGACCTGCATCACTTCGGGCTTTCCTCCCACATTAAGCTGACACGCCGTGATATAACTCACTGTCTGGAATACTGTTAAAAGCGGCGTTAAACACAACTCACTCACTCATAAACATATGCATATGGAATCTGCTTTTAGCAGATATTTCTTATGATTATGGAACGGGTTTTGTCGCTTTTTTAAACGATGGTTACATGGGCATAGAGTAAACAGACATATAAAAATAATATTCATATCAGTGATGCTAGACACTTGATAGTTCGAAACCATAATAATAATAAATAAAGCGACAAAACAATTTCCATATCCAAACACAGTTTAATCGTCCAGATGTACATGTACATGGCTCTACAAGCCAGGTTTTTGCATGATAGATTTAAATCTGGATTCGGATTTGTAATCTGCAATGCCATTTGAAACCAATTTCACTTTTCCTTCACAAAGTAGTGTACTTAATGAATCTAGCAACTTTTAAGGTGCATGGGGCATGCGCTTTCTACAAAGGTTTTAAAGAGCATTACTCGACTCTGGCTCAGAAGGTTTTTGATCAGGGTTAGAACATCCAAGGCCCCAGTGATGCTTTCAAAAGGATTTATGGCAGACGTGGCAGACTTTCACAATTTGACGCATCAGTGACCAAATTTATGTCGGATGCAATTCCCTATTTTTACTTGTGCAGTTTTGTCCCGAGTTTCTTCAGGTTAACAATTTGATAGTGATTTATAGGCAAATGCTCATGGTATTGTCGGATTTCTTTTGGAGTAATAGTGTGCGTTAGTCAACAAGGAAACACTTTTTTATTAAAATTTTGCGAGTGACGGATGCTACCGGTAAAGCAGGACATGCTTACCCTTTTCGCGAACACCCGGTGTCAGCAATGATTTTCAATGATTCTTTTATATAGTTTTCACCACTATTTTGTTTGCCTTGTTCGCACAATGGAATCCGCTTCGGCAGATAGTCAGACTGGTTATTCTCTAGTTTTCAATTTCTATATTATTCATTATCATGGAACCGCTTCCGTGATCTAGAGGTAGAGCGTCCGCCCGGAGAGCGGAAGGTGCTGGATTCGATCCCCGGCCGCGTCATACCAAAAGAGGTTAAAAGATGGTACTTGTTGTTACCCTGTCTGGCGCTTGGCATTAACGGGCTAAAACAAGGACTGGTCGGCTCGGAATCAGTATACTGCATCTGAGTGGGGTATTCATGTTAAACAGCGGCGTGGTATCTCAGTGTGTTGGCACTATAAATCGGCATCAGTCCGGACTAGTACAAGCAGCCACACAAACACACACACGTGCATGCACGTCGCTACATAAGTGCAATAATCGTGGACGCGACGTTAAACCCAATTTCACCTCACCTTATTGTCATGGAATGAGTTTGTGTGGCTTTTGTTTGTATGAATGTCTTTCTTGTGTTTCAGGTGGTGAAAATGCTGGTGATAGTTGTGTGTATATTCGGATTGTGTTGGCTCCCCCTCCATACATTCATAATTGTGATAGACTTCAATCCCCATCTACTGGAGTATAAATCTGAGCAACAGGAGATTCTATTCACTGCCGTCTACTACTTCGCTCATTGGCTGGCAATGTCTAACAGCTTCGCCAATCCCATTATATACGGATTTACAAATGATAGCTTCAGGGTAAGTATAGACACTGTTTTATTCCATGTTTTTGAGTGTCTCATTATGCACGTTTTTAGCTTACTCCGTTACCCAGGAAAAAAGGTAACTATATATTTAATATTATTGGAATATAATGGAATATCCAAAATGCATGATTCTGTTTGTTTATGTGTTTGTTGTACGCAGCACTCAGCAATGTTCAATGATTCTGAGATGTATATGATTATACATAGGATCGGATCCAACATATTTTTGTTTGGTTCTTTTATATTATATTTTTCCATCACTATCGAGTCATTATTCACATGTATAAATACATAATGTTTCAAGGTATAAAAGAGCTGGAGTGAGTGTCTGAGTTTGAGGTAACGCCTGTTATGATTTGTATCAGAACACATCCGGCAGGCATTGTCCTTGAACAGAAAATATATCAAAACTGCTAAACACACTTTATATCTCTCTTTTATGTAATCATGTAGCGAATGTCTTTCATGGTGATGGTATTTAGATTTGTATAAATTTTGAAATATTTAGATAATTGAACATATTAAGTTGTAATATATATGTACAACATCAATTCCTGAGGTATCAATATTGCAAGAGATAAGTAACGTGTACCCTCTGTGCCTTGCCAACTGCCTAAATACCATGTCTATATATATTCGAAATAGAATTCAGTCAGTCCTCTTGCATTATATTCCCACTAGATCAGCACAAAGGGATCTGGTGATTATATATTCAACGTTCACTGTATATGGAAACGTGTAAATACTCTGTAATCCCCCGACTTAATATGCCACTCAATATCTGTTTTTCGCGAGTGTAATTGTATTTGATGCTTGATGCCTGACCAAGAGTCTGGTGGATTCTATATTATCTCTGGTACAAAAGCATCATGGGTTCCGTTGCCTATTGAATGAACACTTGCTTACATTTATATGAAGGCGTGACTTCTTTAACCTTTCAGTAAACTACGGTTATAACGAACTCAAAGGGACTACTAATTTTAGTTCGTTATAACCGTAGTTCGTTGTAAGCATATATACAGCATAACTACAGCATATAGTCGGGACTAAAGAGTTAGTTCGTTATATCCGTTAGTTCGTTATAAGCATGTTCGTTATAACCGTAGTTTACTGTACTTTAATACTGTATACCATCTGTACACAGTACATGTCGTTATAGCTACGTTTCAATACGATAATGATTCTACCTTTATGTAAAGAGCCGGAAACAAAGAATAAGGAAGAAACATGGTCAAATTTATATTTATTAACAAAGCATCATATAATCTTCAAACCGTTACTCTATATTTCAGTGTAGCGAAAGGGAACTGCTGTCACAAAAAGTACAGTTAGGGCAAACTTTTAACCATTTTTGCGTACACCTCACGTGATCACTGTAACTTTACAGTAGTTTGCGTGAGTAGGTTTTTGATCTGTTCTTGCTTTGTCATTGATTGAACTTTTAATGTGACAGAGGGACTCTATATGCGAAGTCAATTAGAAGAGGGCACAGAAATATCTAATGTTTTGTTCACGGTTACTGAAAATTTCCAATCAATATGATAAACATTGACAGCCTTCACGTCAACTCATGGCCAGATGAAATATAAAATTCCCCTTGAATTGTTATCCTGTTTATTTAATCATATCAATTTATTTTGACTTTACAATCATCCCTATCCCAAAATAGTTAAAGATATGCACATACCGATATTCCCAATGTGAATAATGTGTCTGTCATTTCCTGTTTCAGTCCGACCTAGCAGGCCTGTTTTATTTGTGGTTCCCATTCTGTTCATGCCTCAAGAAGATGGTTGTCCGTAAACTTAGCATGTCAACATACGAGACAGCCCTTCCTCGACGTCAAAGCACGATGAGAAAACCGCCACAACACGCTGCAATGAAGCAATCTGTCAGAAATGGACATAAAGTGTATTTTGAGCTCAGACGATCCTTGTCAAAGGATGATGACGAAAATTGCAGACTCTCATGTCTGAATTCATCCAATGCTGTTTGATGCCCTATTCATCAATATCTGTACCACATAGTGACAGATATCTTCATTAAGCATCTTCATCTTCAAGTCCACAATAGTGAACCATGTATACTAAGAGATTTCTGTCTAGGCATATCTCACACATACATACATACATTATCATTTTTCCTCATGTATTAATTACTCTTTGACTGTAATTGGAACATTGATGTGAATTAAAAGTACACAAACTTTTAAAAATATTTAAAATAGCTATATATAATTTTATTATAATACTAGTATATATTTCAAAGTATTTTGGGTTGGTGGACAGGGTTTCGTACCGTCTTAGTTTCATAGCTGATTGGATTAGAGCATGTGATCGATGAATCCTAACTCCGAGAACTGATCCAGATCAAAGAGACAAAATTAGAATACTAATTTATCTAGATACTATTCGAAAAGACTTCTATATACCTACTTGTTTGACCTCAGGCAAAACAGTTCTCGAGGGCTCGTATAAGGAGGCAAGTTATTATTTACAAATTAACACCAAGCACAATCAAAACAATTTTTTATGAAACGTGTGTACATGCATGGTGTATGTGCATGATCAAGAAAGTAGTTAAAATGCGAACATTGACAGGACCTGAAATTAATTAATTAATTGCATCTTTTTCCTACACTAATAATGTGATAATCATTTAGTTAAAATCATATTTACACCAACAATTACATACTGAACCTGACAAAGAGCAAGTAATAACTATACACCAACCGTTCACTTGTCTTAACATCGTTCTTACGTTCGGCTACTTTAAATTAAATAATACTGAACAGAGCTGGCTTTGAACATAATTGTACATGGTATACATATATGATTGACATTTTGTACTTGTATTACGTTTCGATTTTGTTTTGTGATTGATTATGCTGCTCAACTTTTGTTAAGGAAGTCATTACCTTACAGTATGGTTTGGTTACTGTGGACAAAACGTATTGTGTGTACTGTATATGTTGTTAAAGAGATTGGTAAGCTTTATTGTTGTTGCAAGGGGTTTGTTCGTATAAAGTTTATTTTTTACATACAAATGATACATGTACTACAGCGTTTTCAAGACTGCGAGAATATGACAAACTTTACCCACGATACATATATTGCTGACGTGTCATTATTTCATATTTCGTTATATACTTCTGTCCTCAGCAAATTTTGAGTAGCATGACGAATTAATGACTAGCGTCATAAGGTTATATGTCATAGTTTTTTAAACCGGTGGAGAAATAAAAACAGTGCTTTTTCACTCTGTTGATGAACAGTGATAAAATGTTGTTTCAGTATTAATGCTGAGTGTGTAACCGTTCATGTACCGTGTGTGACAGAGTATAGTCATGAAAAACTGACCATTAGAGCTGTATGATATTCATTTTTTGAAATATTTATCATTGATATTATCACTTGAAAAATGAAATGTAAATAAACAAGAACATAAATTGTAGAATGTGTTTCATGATTTCTATTTACGGTATACAAGTCTAAAGGATGTCGTTTCTTCAACAATGAATCAAATCAGTTTGTTTCATTACCTGAGCGCTTGGGTTCTGTTTATGTTGACTTATCACAGAAAATGTAGGTGCAAACAGTTGCACCGATTATGATATAGGCTCTTTGTTCAAACAGAAGTGAGTGAGTGTGTTGGGTTTAACACCGCTTTTAACACTATTCCAGTTATATCGCGGCGTGTCAGCTTAATGTGGGAGGAAAGCCCGAAGTGATGCATGTCTCAGACGTTTACCACTTCGGTGAAACCCACGAGCACGGGTATGGTGCTGACAAACCTAGAAACATAATCGGGGCGAACCGGGATTCGAACCAACAATCATAGGTTTCTGGCGTGCCCAAGGGACGCAACTCGGCACAGCGAATCGCGGCGCCTTAGACGACTGGGCCACCCGTGCCCCCTGTTCAAGCAGGAATATACAGGATATATTATAAAACAATTCGACCTTTAGTACATTGCCAGTCTGGTTGTTAAGCTTCTACAATCTGTATTTGTGGTGTGACTGACCAGAGCCTTTCATAACCAGCTAGTAGTAAATATCGAAAAAAGATGGTATTATTGATAACATATGAATTATAGATGAATTAATGATAACAGTCAAATTTATCCCCATGGATAACAGTGTCACTGCAAGGCAAAAGGAGCAGGTATCGATAACCTTACTAGGAGATGAATAGGAGAACGTGACTGTTGTTTATCGCTGATAAAAAGCTGTCCATAAACTGATACTCCTATCTTTCGGAAACACCCCGAATGGCTTTGAGTAAATAAGATTAATTCCATTCTATTTCAACTACAAGTTATAGTTTCCATGAACCATATTGATACATACACATGACCACTTCAACAGTTGTGAAATGTAAACAACAAAGGCTGGAGTTGCTGGAACATTGATTGACATAAGGGAAAGTTGACTCTTGGGATGTTGAAGTCTTCCTTCTTGTCACACTGGCTCCTTTATTTCTTAGTCAGGTGGGTAAATTAGTAGAAGGGAATTGGCTATTTGATGGTTATTGACACCGGTATCAGATAATCGAAATACCTTAAGCTTATTTTAATAAGTTTAACATCCGGGCAAAATCCCTCCGTTTTGACTTTCCGATTTATATGCACAGGGAAGCAGTTCATATTATGTCTGTTGTCACAACGTTTAGTAACAAATGTCCCATCGATCAAGGAAAGAAGTTTTTTTCCAAACGTTTGTTATAATTTATGAGTGATAGTTACGTTGAAGTTGAATAATGAAATGTTTATACTTGGTTCTTTTCTGCGATTTGAAAATTTCAGGCAAATACTTGGAATGTTTTGGAATCCACTTGGTATTAATTCCACTTTCAAATACTTTTTGAGAATGTACGGAAAGTTCTTCTCCGATAGTATTAAGGATTATGGTTATCTTTGAGAAAAGCATTTGGTGGTACATTTGCTGGACCCAGCAATAAATCTCTCTTTCAATTTTTATGGAGCTTTTGAATCCAGTACAAAAGAGGAATGGACATCAAAACAAAAGATCAATCATTAAAAATGTCATTCTCAACCAAATGTTGATCTCCTCGAAGTACGTGCAATTATTCGCCGAATATTCTCGAATTATTTGCAATTGTCCTGCAGAACAAAACAGACCGTTTCCTTGCAGTGTAGACGCAAGTTTCACTGCACATTCAGTCTATGGATATATGGATGTAGACACAATCTCACCACACAGATGTAGAGAAATTTGAATGCTAAATTTGTATCAATCTGTTGTCTACAGCCCAGGCTTGCTGAACCGTTACCTATAATTTGCGTGAAACCACACCTGCGCATATCAAACAACATCGTTGATTTTTAGATTATCTACTATTTGTTTCGTTATCCGATTTAGGCGACAGGTAATATGATCGGTATTACATCATTTTCCACATATGCCTCAGTCCATTACCTTAAACAATGTTCCTTCACATAAACATCACATATACGATTTTGTTAATATACTGAAGTTGTACCACAGTCAACTTTGCATATTTTATTGGTCTGTATGACGAGTCTTATACTATCCCATGTGAAGTAATGTTCGTTGTAATGTTGTTTATTGTCAGTGTGAATTTCGGTCGTGATGAACTGACTTTGAAATTCCTGTGAAGTTTGTTATATTCTGAGTCGACTATGTCAGACTAAACGGCCCACCTCTTGTACTCAGTAACACCATAATTAAAGAAGTCCGAGATAACTGGGTGAGTGGGCCTCGGAGTCTGGAAAGCCAATTAAGCCTCAGTAAAATTCACCCTTCGTATTCATGGCAATCCCATCGTTACACTAGGTCGACATTTAACGAGATTCCAATTCATCATCAGTAAGAAAGGAGCGGCGGTCACAGATGTTGGAAGATATTTACGCACGTGTATATACTTGAGGATTTCTTGATGAATAATCCGTATTTGACTTAGGGACATGGTAACCAAAATGCAGAAATGGATGTGAACTGGGTGTGCCCTACACTGATATTGGCATAACACACCCTCTCATAATGGTACTATAAACATGATAATAGAGGTACTTACTATAATTAATTTGAAAAAGTAACTTTAAGTATCGAGGAAAAGAAGATGGTCTGTTTCTTACTCATTATTGCCTGCTTGTTTATGTCAGTATTGCAATTATTAGGTAGTATCCCTTTCAGTTTCATTTGACCTCAACTGTAAGCATCACGGTGTGATCACAATTATGTCTAAATCAACCTGTGCGTATTCTCTTCTATCTTCTCATCTGATTGCTTTACCAAATGTGACTGAAATATACGTTTAAAGTACATGTATTAGTTTACTGAGGGCATTTTCGAAACGATCAAACCTAGAGCAAAATTTACAACAATATGTTAACCCAGAAATCGATGGTATACGTTCGCCAAATGTATTACAACATGCACTAGGTTTACAAATCAATACGAATTACTACATAGCAATTGCAATGGCAGCACATAATAAAGTGGTTGTACAATATTCAACGGCAACATTTAATATGATGGCAGTGATCAATAATACAGTGGTGAATGCAAAAATACACTCGTGATAGCAACAATCAGTGATAATAGTACATTTACCCTGCGGCGACAGTGGTCAAGCATCCGAGGCAGGGAATCCGGGGTGTTGAGTGATCTTCACACGAAAGCTGGTCTTGATTTAATGAAATGTGTGAGAGATACGAGAGGCACGTTCTTGTCCCCTTGTGTACAGCTACTTGAAATTACCACACAGTGCCATCACAACATAGACGATTCGACGTGTTTCTGTAACACACTATCACAGTGCACGGTATTCCGGAAGTTTGCACATTGCACTAGCATCTAAGTATAGTAACTTCCTCTAAACTGCTTAAACAGTACTACATTCCTGACAACTAATCATTGTCCAAATACAATGCAATGCGCTTCTACCGCTTCTACTTCTACCGCTACAATCATTGTTTCACAACACAACACACTGCCATATTACACAAGTAGACAATAAAACAAGGGACCATCTATAAATGACAGAGTACCAAGGTACACTATCAATACACAGCACACATCGTAATATCTATCGAAACTATCACATAAGGCAGGAAGTTGGTGCAATACATTATTCTTTGCACACATACAAAGACACTGTGAAATCAAACGAAGGTTGCAATACGTATTATTTAATAATATTTATTCATTACCATATTAATTATAAGGATTCGTGTGTATTAATAGTATATGTGACATAATCGGATTGGTTGAAAAACGGAAACATTCCTGAAACAACTTAATTTTATGTCCAAATATTTAAAACAAAACTTTCGACATGCTTATGATATTAAAACATAAATTGAGTTCGGTTATATTAATCGGAATCGTTTTCTACATACTTATACACATGCACATGCAGTACTTTTGATGTGGAGAGATATAACGTCATCCAATGACCAACAACAACAGTAAACCTGAAACATAAGGTAACTTCAAATTGGCATGATTATCGTGATTATAAAAGAAACAATTTATCTAACATCATTAGCGTGTATCGTAACACATGGTTGTGTAACGAGCCGCAGGGACGTACTGGTATTAATATAATATGCGTACGCGGGGCAACATGATGACATATTTACCTGACAGTATCCACACACCAAGGCCATTACGTACAATGTATTGGTAATGTGTGTATGTTCCGTCATGGTTTCCTGGCAATCACCGCAATACGATGTTACTCTCTGATGATAATGGGTAAAGGTCCATTGAGTGCTCAACGCTGTGAATTTGAAGACAACGTGCCTACAAATACATTTGCTACATGGATTTTGTGTTGGTGCAGCCTTACGAAAAATTAAATCCATCAATATCCTCTTCATTTGATTAGTATGTCTAATCATATTGGTGTAACAGTTGAGGGATCATGTTATATATTATTAAATATTATTTATATTGTGAACTCAGCAAACGTATTACTCTCAAATATCAGTCAACAGAATACTACTTTGCGAAACTGTGGTACACTTTTCGCGCCAAGTATTACAGACATCGCAAACAACGTATGTAGTGATGCTTCTAAACAATAGATAGGATTTTTTAAGCTTTTCGTGTGGGGCTTCCAGACTTTGGATGACAGCTGTCTGGAACAGAATATGTTTATTTCAATTTTGTTTCCACTTTTTCAGCTAATGCATTCAAGAATTTTCTGAAGGGATGGAAACACCAATATGAAACTGTTCACACCAACACTGATTCTACACAGATTCTTTAGATGCTAGCACTGAACATATATCCATTAGGTGCATTATTTGTGTAATTTCATCTTCAGAGATAAACCCATTTCTTCATTTCAATCTTTCAAATGCTCTTTTTTATAAAGCGTATGTACAATCAATGTGAATGAGCAAAATAAAACCTTAGAACATGCATGAAGGATTAATATATGACGCACATACAATGAACACAG